GGTTTACGAGCACTTCGCTTAACGATCATTTCCCTTAATGAATCTAAAACAACAAAAAAGTAGTAAAACTATAAAATAATTATATGTTTTTAATGCATAAGGAACTTCAACTATAAATATTTATTTAGGTTAAAATAATCGCGTAAGTATCATATTCAATTACCCATATTCAATTTTCAAAATGAATCATCAGCAATAGTCATCCATTTATCATTAATAAGTTTTTAGTTACTGGAAATTTAGTTAGATTTATATAAAGATAAATTGTCTTGTCCTGGGATGAAATGTCTCTGGACACTGTGGAATAATTTGTAGTATTGTCGTTATGGAGTCCTAGTGGGTTTTATGGAAGAGCCTAAATTAAAGTCAGTGTAATAATAGTATTTATTTAACACTTAGGTGATGAAGATTCTTAATAAAACTAGAACTAAGACTAGTCTCTTCCTAGGACTAAGACGTGAGTCTCGGGCTAACTAGGACTAACTTAAAATAACAAGTGTCGTCTTATATGTAAGAACAGGTACTAAATACCTAAATACAGAATAATATTCTAAGGGTAGGGGCTAATTTGCCATGTGGGATGTACGTCATAGGCGCCAGCGGGGAAAATTTAGGTAATGTAATTGTAGTGGAGGATGAAGATGAACATCTTTTTTATAAACTACACCATTAAAAACGCAACAGAAGTTGTGCTAGAAGAATAAAATATCATTTAAGAAATTAAAAATGAAGTTATCCAGATGCCTAGATCAATAGGTTTCAAACATGTTAATGAAGACAATGTTAGAAATGTAGAAGATTTAGGAAAACTTGTTAATAACGAAGACAAAGAATATTTTCAGTACAAAAATAAAAGTTTTTGGTGAAAAAATGTTACCAATCAAACCAAAGATTTAAAAAGGTGATTTAGTGAAATCATCCTGATCTAGATTTAGAAAGTTTTTTTTTTGTTAAGCAATCATTGTTAAAGTAATTAATGGAATTATTATATGAAACAGATAAAAATACAATCAACTTTAGACTCATATTTTAAAATGTGATTTCACTTTGTTATAAGTTTATTTAATAAAAAAAACTTTTAATTTTATTAAAAAATAACTATTTTTTCTGTACCATTTTCTAGCCAAAGAATATTTAAATTAATAAAATCACAAATTGAAACAAACAAATGAATGATAATAAACAAGGAGATATGAAAGAGTAAATATTTTAAAAATAGATATTAACTTTTATTAGTACATAATCACGTGATGTTTATATATATATTTGTATGTATATGGGGATTACCCTAAATGCACGTAGCGCGATTCAGTCGAGTGAAGTTTATTTTCGTTCTACTACTTTGAAGAATTTTAATAAATTCGTATATTTTTATTGTTCAATTTGATAAAACTTGTCAAAGTGTGCGCAATCCCATGAGTACGGTATTAATACAGTAATGATTCGTTATTTCTTCTACATAGATTAACGTATATTGAACTATTTGAAATTTATTGCAATTCAACAAATTTATTGCGCCCTTAATATATCAGATTTTTTCCGCGACGAGACTACCATTTAGTCCACATTGATTATTTTCTGATTGTAATTGTACACGCTCATATGGCGGGTATTATTTAGTCCCTATTCATAATTAGCTATGATTATTAATTGTATTTGTTCACATCTTTACCCGAAGGTACTAGACTTGCATAAATGTACACCCATAACCTTTTTTACCACTACCCTAAGAATAGTTCCCCAGACCTAGTGAATAGTTACGAGATCTACGACCCTCGTACCTGAAGCGCACATGTTCATAACGTGCACCCCTGAATATTCTTTTATATTTGATACGTTTTCTTAGTCCTAGTTCTAGCATTAGCTAGACTCTTATTAATTCTAGTATAACTCTTGAACAGCAACCTATTCTTGTAGCAATTGGAAGTTAGATTAATAACTCAGTAATACAAGTGTTAAATAAATCCTACTTTATACACCGACTTCTATGACATTAATCATAAAACCCACTAGGACTCCACACCGACAAAACTACAAATTATTACACAGTGTCCAGAGATATCCCATCCCGATCGACAAGAATATAAATATAATAAGAATGTTAATATTTGTTAGTGTTTTTTTTTTTGAGAACTTACTTATCTACTTTATTAGTGATAAACTGTCCAGAAATTTGTAGTAAAATGAACTTTTCTCATTATTTCTCATATTTCTCTTAACAAGCATAATCCGTTCCATAATTTCCAGATTTTTACTCGTATAGTGAAACAATGTAAAATAGGATAATGCGTTTCATGCCGGAAAAAAATTATAACTCGCTTTTTAATGATTTTGCATTTCATATGGTTTTCCAAGTGTTAATAAAATTTTGTACAAAAAAAAAACACAAAGAACGTCCCAACAAAGTTTGGAAATATGTATGATCATAAACACAACTAGAATGCAACTTTCATGACTATTAACACCAGGGACTGTCTTCCCATTCACATAGGTTGAAGAGAGTGAATCTATTTGTTTATATTTCTTGTATAGATCCGGGGTTTCTTTATACTTTTAATATTTGTTTATATAAAAAAGCGTAATTCTTGATAAATATTAAGCACTGTTTTGGGTGAAATAATTTCAGTTTTAGATTTATACACATTATATAATTTATATACAAAACTATGTATGTATAATCATCATTATATATTGAACTTACTTGTTTTTAATTAATATATTCTAGTATTTTCTTTTTAATAGTTTAAATTTATTTATATTGAAGGAACAATAACATTAAAATATCTATAAAAATAGGTTTTTAAAAACATTTATTTGTTGCTACCTGACTTTACCATTAAATTTTCTCGTATATTTGCTGTTTGTTTTCACACGTTGTTGCTATTGTATTTATAAATAATTAAATACCAATGAAGTTTACTTATTTATGACATAAATATTTTACGCTCAGTGTCATGTCTGTACTGTTATTATGCACTGGTCTTTCTTGGGAAACTGCATATTGCAAATATTAAAATAAATAATTAAATAGTTTCACAGTATTATAAGACATTCAATGTTTCTAATAATATAAGAAATATCCTGCCTATTAATATTTTTTTTTATTTATGTTAGAATCTATTTATTTTGAGAGTTATATTATTATTTAGTTTTTTTTTATTATTATTATCATTTATTTATAGAATATACTTTTTTTGTATTGATATCTGGCCAATAAATTATTATTATTAATAAATATCAAAATTTATAACGTAACTATAATTTATTGTAGTTTAATATTTGAAAATACACTTGAATTTCTAGTTTTACAATAATATCATTTTGTATATTCTTCTTTAATGATATTTAATACAGTAACAAAATTCACCCTGTATATTGCGTCATTTACTTATTAGCACTTGTCATATAAAGAAACGTTTCCACTCCGGTTCAACTAATGACTAGATAGCACAGTGATATTATATAACATGTAATTTGATATTTGTTATTCCACTCATCAAACTAATTTATTCAGCTTTAACCCATTAAAACCCTAGGGATAATTGGGTCATGCATTATGCATCGTTGCAATGAGAATGGTGTATGCAATCGCACTTTAAAGTTAACCCAATGATGGAAATACTGAGCTTTCGTGTGCAAACTTCACGCGGGAGACTGCACTGGGATATAGATTTCCTGGAAGCTAACCTAAATTCCGAAGAACCTTGAACTTGACTTTCGTTTCTCATCATTTCTCGCAACGACATGTCGGCTTCAACCAAAAACAGTAAGCCGTGTATGATTCGTAGGATAAACCTAACGAACATACGCGTTTACGTCATTTCTATTTTAGCATTTTTTTTTATGTAATGAAAATTATCTTTGGATTAAATTAAATAAACATTTTTTTGTTTCCAATACAGTTTTTATCAATTTATTATAAATTAAATTAATTTACGTTGATTTATTAACAAATTAATTTTAAATTATTCAAATGATATGTTCAAATTTATTTTGTTCAAATTAAGTTAATTTTTCAAGAAGAAAAAATATCAATGAACATATTTTAGCACAACTACATTTAATAATGTTGAAAAATATAATTCCTTAATATAAATATTTAAAAAAATCTAATTTAATTCTGGAATATCCGAAGTATAAAGCGAGAATGTTGAGATTACATCATTTGCCGGAAATTATTTTCGTTGTTTTGTCTAGTGTGAGCTAGACCTGTCTGTTAATTGAATACGTAAAATTTTACGATTAAAACCAGTTTTATTAGTGTTTCCAACTAATCAAGCAAACTAATGACTTTAGCTAATTAACAATTACAATTAACATTTTATACGACTGGCAGTTTATTGAAATTCCGATTAAGTAACAATGAACTGTTTGTTTTCTGATCAAACAAAAACAAAAATGCGACTTGTTGTTTTCATTTCGTCATGTAACCTACATATTACCTAAAAAAAAGTTGCATGCAAAGTGCGAAACGTCATTACTTTTTTCTGAAGAAATACTTCTTTTTAATATGACTAAGAACAAAAATTCGTAATATCGTATTCATATTGCAAGCTACAAGAAATTCATAAATAAAACATAAATTCTAAATTTGCCTAAATCGTCTATTTAGGTCAATAACAATTATCATTTATTATAATGTAAACCTCATATTAACTCTTTATATAATTTTTCAGCCTGAAAAAGAAATTTTATTAATTATTATAAACATCGGAAACACTTATTGTAGGTGATAGGAGTAGATTATATAAAACAGACATAATTTGTCTAGGATTAAAAAAGAATGAATGGATCAGTATGTTACTATAAAAATATTTTATGTTTCAATTGGCCAAAATCGTGAATAAGGGATGATTGAAAAAGGATGCTTAAAAAATAGAAATAAAGCAAAATATGTTTTAATCATATTAAAAAAAACTTTATGCACACAAAAAATCAGATATATAAAAATTCTGTTTCATTGTTCATATCGTACAATTTGAATTAAATAATTTATTTGCCATTTTCTCCATTATCTGGAATGAAAGGAAGAATATAAATAAAAGTTGTCATTTCTAAATGAAAAATAAATATAAAGGAGAAAAAAATGCATTATATTACAATAAAAGAAAACATACTGGTTTCAGTTTACAAAAAATTTCGTTAAAGTATAAAACCTTTGCGCTCCTTGCTTTTTTCTTTACCATACTTTTTTTTAGTACATTTTTCTTATTTATCTAAAAAATGACTAGCCTTTTGCAATGTACAAAAACCCAACAATAACAATAAAAAATAGTAAGGTAATTACAATTATTATGCCCGGTTAGATAATATAAATAAATTCAATGATTCTTCTGGTACATTGAACGGTAAAAAATGTATATTTGATACAAAAAGGAAAAAGTAATTGATAAATAAAATTATTCTTCCCATTTTCGTAAGATTCTTTTGAGCGATTTTATTCCCTAGAAGAATCCTATACGCGAAATTAATAATAATAAACATTACACCCAAAATTAATACTAAAAAAGAATCATTATTTTTTCCTTTTAAGCAATTATTTAGCAACTGTTTATACTTAATTTTAGCACATCACAACCACTACCCAAAAAATATATTTTATTTTAATAACAATTTTGGAATCTTGGTAACTCTGGAACGAAAGTTCCTGTTATTGCTAGTGTACTTTAGATTTAATTCCAGGGTATTCCGCGTTGGCAGGACGACTCTTCGGTTTGCGTCTATCACCAGACAGATACGCTTTGTAGAAGAACCGTGCGAAGAGCACGAAGTAACTGAAGTACATCGCCAGGGACAGTTTAATGTTCCTTTCAGAGATGTGACATTTGATGTTGCTTTGCAGCAATTGGCGGGCCCAGAAGTTGACTGCACAACCGACGACCATCTGGAGGAGTTGCAGGGATGTGATCACCATGGCGATTTGGCGCGGAGGACTATAACCCATCGCCCTCAGTGCATAATAAGAGTACATAAGTGAATGCACGCAGTAGTTCATAACAATAAACCATCTCGCACTCGCAGTATATTCCGTGTAGCTGAACCACGAATATAGCAGTACTGTTATGTGATGGTACCAGTGCAGGAAAATCAGCGGCTGCTTTCTTAATATTATGAAAATGGTATCGCCGAGCTCTGGCAATTTGCTGAGGACGAACATCCAAGTCCAGAAACCGGATACCTTATCCATCTCGATGAACGAAGGAATGCACACGGAATTGTATATGCCGTGATGCGTCAGGGTAGTTATGAACTCGGGCAGGGTACGCACTGCGCCCATTATACTGAATGTTGCCAACGCAGTATTCCAGAGACAGAGGACCCCTCGCAATTCGAACCGGGGTCGGTTCTGCATCAGATATTGCCCCCCGAATATCAGCACCATGTATAGCCCTACATAATAGAAACCCAGCGTCCAGTTCTCAGACATCCACGTGCGGGTAGGCTGGTGGCTAAATTCTGATTCGAAATTGAACACATAGGAATAGTTCGGCAGCGTCACTTGAGCGTACTGCATATTGATTACAGAAGAAGACTTCTTCTATTCGCGCACCCACACACACTCACGCACTAGACATAAACTACTCAATAACTTAGCTCTCCTTTGCGAGGATCCAAAGAGGTTCCTTGTCTTTCGTTTGCTTGGGGGGCTCCTCACTTTCGCCGGTTGGTGCGCTTACTTAAATGCGAACAGACGCACTATCCATCACCGAGTTATATCGCTCACGAGCAGAAACCGGCTCCAAACCGCACGCCCTAACCGCCATTCCCCCCGGCGCGTGCGCTTCTTCCTTTTTACTGACTTATAGCTTCGTTCTACACCTTCAATTCATAAAAACATTGCACTATCACCAGGTGGCCAGAATTGTATACCTGCGAATAACAATTTATGCAAACTATATATAGAACAAATCAAAACCAGTATCATATATTTAAAAAAAAATCAACATTTAATATGCATCCAATACTTATACTTTATAGATATAGTTATGCATTTTGTATATTAACAAACGACATCACTAAATTTTAATTAGAATTCAATATCATTATTTCCTTTTTTACGCTTTATTTGCAAAATAAATAAAACTTATCTATGAAACCGAACTGATGATGATTTTTATAATGCATTTTTGATATTTTATATATTTATTTATTTAGTATACTTTTTAAGTTGGATTATAATTTATAATAATATATTATAACAATAAGATTTGCTTTCAAATAACTTTCCTAATATTATTTTGAAATTATCAATAGTAATACATCCAATAAACTACTTGAAATTATAATATAATATTAAATAATATATTATGCAATACACCAGTTATCATAATATCTTATAGATACGTCATTCAGCTCATTTAATAATATGAAATTTAAATAATAGTTACTATTCCTAACGTGTAAATAATAATAAACAATTTCGATTGTGGCACCATCTTTGGATTTTTTATAGATACGGAAAGTTCAAACAAATTTAACCAAGTGTCGCTAATGCATGGATTAACATAGAGGAAAATTATTTAAAGATGAATTTATTTATTAAAAATATTTAATGCATAATTACAAGTAATTATATTTTTATATATCATCTATGTATACCCCTGGGAATACAATATCCGTATGATATAAAAATATTCATTAAAAAAAATCAAGTTTAAAACAAAATAATAATACAAGAAAAGAAAATATAACATTCATATCTATTTCATCTCTATATATTTATAATGAATAATAATAATCGTTGTAATAGTAAAAAAGAGTAATCATTTTCATTTAACAATAATAATAACTATAAAACAAAAAAGTTCAACTGCTGCAAAGGGCTATTGATCATAGGTTTTACTGACTGGTCTTATAATGATTTCATTGTCAATTGAAATAATCAAATATCCATTATGAACCTCTGAATTTTATCGAATAGTTATTATATACTTACTTAATATAAAAGTTGTCACAGAATGGAATAGAAGTAATAGGTAAGGGTAGTTTTTGTAAAAAAAAAATATTGTTAGCTAATTAAATTTATATAGGCATCCAGATATACTGATGTTTTCGAGAATAAAGGCAACAATGTAAAATGCAATTTCTGTGCTAAACAAAAAAGCATCCAATCACATCAGTATCAATATATTCAAGGGTGAGGTTATTGCATAAAATATAACATATGAAAAAGAAATGGCGAACGAGAAAGAAATGTTAGCATTGCTAAAAATTAAATATGAAAATGTCATCAACTCCAAAAGAAAGTTATCAAGTGTTAATAATGGAACTGATTTAATCAATTTGTTGAAACGAAGAGATGCTCTTACGGATGAGGATAAAATTGAGATTGAAAATATACTCCAACCCAAAAAACAAAGAAGTGCTCCATTAACAATAGCTTCCAATAACTACAGGAGAGAAATAAATACTTATCAATGTATGTATTGTTACTTGTATATAATAATACAAAATTAACTGATATTGTTTTAGTATCGAGTGAACCTTCCAGCAATATTCATAAAGCCTATGAGATTATGTGCAATAGACTAGGCAAAAATTGGAAAGACTTTGCTCGGGAACTGAAAGTATCTGAAAGTAAAATTGATGAGCTTGGTGCTTTAAAGCACAATGAAGCTATACAATGGATATTGACAAACCATGAAAACAATTGTGACAAAAAACGCCAAAGACATGAACTGATAAATGCTTTAAGTAATTGCAGAAGAAAAGACTTGAGTAGAGAGGTTGATCTTCTAATGAGCTATTAACAATATTTATATATTTGTAATATTTTGACAGAATATATTTATTTTTTATTTTATTGATCTTTTTTTTGTGCTACCCAATAGTTATCGCGTGAAGTTTCTCATTTCTTTCGTGTTTTTGAGCTAACTTCAAGGCATTGGTAACTACGCAACGTAACAAGTTTTTTTTTCTAATCTTTTCTTGCAAAGTGGGAACAAGTGGGAAAGCGAGTTCCATACGAACGGCAGGTAACTTTGCGCGTTGTTGCCATAGATAAGTGTTCTTCTATTCAGAGGTGCTGATTACTCCCCCACGAGAGTGTTTTTGTGCTGTTCTCATTGGAATTCCTATTTCGTGTGTTGACCGCATATTACAAACACAACAGTGCGGACGAGTGAAGTGATTTTGTAAGAAGAGTATGGACCGGTACGATTCCAGGACTAGCAACAATTACGAGATCAGGACATCCAGTTCGGATGAGCCCCCGAATTCACGTTTGTTTATCATCGCCAATAAGAGGTTAAACGAATCTGATTTTCGGGATGCCTTTGCTAAGTTCGGCGAGATCGAAGACATATGGGTAGTCAAAGATCGTAGATCTGGTGAAAATAAAGGTACATTATTTTCTTTGTACTATGTTTGGATAATCTCTTAATGTTTATTTACATTTTTTTGCATAATGGCGTTAACTCTTAGCATTGTCTAAACCGTTACTTTTCCTTTGTTTTTATATTTTTATTTTTTCGTGGATTTGCAACTGTTTCTTTAATCACATACATTGCCTTCTTATTTCCTTTACCTTGAAATTACTTTAAATGTCAATCGTCTACGTTAAAATTTACGAAGATTTTTCTCTTGGTACAGAAATTAATGTAAATAGATATTTGCACACACGTATGAAGAACACGAATTAGGAGGGAAAATTTACTTCTGCAAAAATTGTAATACAGTTCAATAATATAATTAAATTGAATGTACTAAATACAAATTATATTCTATTAATATTTTATATAAAACATTATTGGACGAAAAGACTTGCGCAGAATTTTGGATTAGTTGAAAAAATGAAATTGATAAATAATAATAAAAGGTGATGCAATGGCCTATTCACCATCAGTCTTTATACCCTGACCATAGGTATATCTGCTCTAAAGTTGTTATGTTATTCAATAATTAAATTGTTTTGTTCTTCATGTCGTTAATTATTGTTTAACTAGTTGAATTAATTCATAATAAAATTGGTTTGGCGTTATCTTTGTGAAAAAATATAGTAAAAGTTGACTATTGTTTGAAATATGTGCACCTATAAAAACTATGATTTTATATAATAATTTGCAACAGAGTAAATATATTTATTGAAAAATTATTAATTATATCTATATATTAATAAAGAATCATACCGGTTAGAGCTTATACATGCAAATATTTACATATATGTACTGTTTCATATAGGATTTTAATTTCTAGTTATTGTAGAAACATTGTGATTCGATAATACTAGTGAGAAAGTGACCGTGTTCAATAGTACAACGTTATGTGGTAGTTGTCTGAACACAAATTGAATCTATTATATTTAATTTAAGTTAAACAATGCAGTCTCATTACAATTAGAATATTTTGTAGTGAGAAAATATACAAATAAAACTTTTACTTTTCTGTTGCTAATGAAAACGTCAATTTCTCTTTGCCAATAGGTTTTTTCTTTGCAAAGAAAAACAAATGTATATATTTCTTATTTAAAATAATATTTACAATTCATTTGCTTACATAAAGTTGTATTTATTTTTATAGATATTTTAATGTTTTTAATTTTTAAAGTAGTTTAAAAATATAATTTGTAATTATTAATGTTCCAACACAAATATTTTCATCAATATGAGTTGTCCCGTAATACACATTTTCCGCCTGCCATTTTTAAGGAACATTTCCCAGTTCACTGAATAATAATTTCTTCGGCATATTCTATTGTCTGTAGTTTCATCAAATCTATTTTAACGGTATTTCTTATATCATCTTACGTCATCGCTTGTTTCAAAATATCTGAATCCCGAAAAGACTGGTCTATAAATATTTTTTTCGATACTACGTGACCATTTTAGGATTCATATATTTCTGTTATGTATAAATGAACATTTATAATCATTATTTCCCTTAAATTTGTTTCTTTCCTGTACCTTCCTAGCTTATGTCAATTTGTTTATCAATATGTATGATTTTTCTAATTTTAGCAATATTTAGTTACAATTTAAAATCTAAACACATTGAAATTAATAATATAGCTTTTTTAGGAAGTTTCTATTCTTAAACATCGCCGTCATTTGTTTATATCTTTGTTCAGCTCGAGAACTATAATTATATTTCTAATGATAAGCTTGAAAAACTAACAACAAGTTGCATGTATAGATTTTCTGTTCTTATGGCAGCTAAATAATCAAAGGATAAAAAATAGATGGTTTCAAAATTAGTTTTTAACTTGAACACGAGCATGAAATATTCTTTATTATTACAGTTCAACGTAAATATTCCTCATTAGAAAGTTATAATTACCAGCATCATGCATAAAATAATATTTATAACTGTTAAACAGATTTAAGCAAGCTGAACATTACTTATTTAAATCCCTTACATAAGCCACGCTTCAAATAATTACTGCAGGCAATTAATGTACCATTAAACGTACTTTCTTTTTTGCGGAATGTGCTATTTATATGGAATGATTCAATTCTCGCAATGATATTTATAAGGTTTTCTCATGCTATTGCAATATAAAATAATTAATGAACGCATATGAATAACTTTAAAAAAATGCTAAATTGAATGAATTCGACATTTTGTTTATAATTGTTCTTTTAATTTATTAAATATTTACCTTTTATTTACAGGTGTTACCTATATAAAATATGCAAAAACATCAGAAGCAGCTCTAGCTATGGAAGCAATGAATGGTAAAATAATAGTGGGTTCGGATAGGCACATCAAAGTAATGATCGCTAGCAAGTGAGTTTATCAAGTGATTTATGATTGTATGTTATTGAATTATTATTTCAGCCGAAATAAAGGTTCGCAACGTGAGGAAAACGAGGATGAAAAGATTCAGCGACTGTTTGTTCTAGTACCCAAAACGATGACAGAAGCAGAACTGGAAAGTTACTTTGGTCAGTTCGGTGATATTGATTATGTGAATATAGTTCGTGATAAGGAAACGCGTGAAAGCAAAGGACTAGGGTACATTAAATATTACAAGTTTTCTCATGCGGCCAAGGCGTTTGAGGAATGTGATAGGAAGTATAGAGCTGTATTCTCCGAACCTAGAAAGAATAATTCAAATAGAAATAACAATAACACCACCACTACGAACAACAACAATAGTAATAATGCAAGCAATGATTACCAACAAACTTTGAGTACAATTACGACAAAGCCTTTTCAAGAAAGTTCTATTGGTAATGGAGATAAGTTCAAAATTATGGTATTAGGTAGTCCACAATTAACTGAAGAACAAGTGTGGAGATTATTTAATATTATCCCTGGTAATATCTAATAATATAATGTCAATAAATAAGGTTAACATTGATGGTTTTAGGAATGGAATATTGTCAGTGGAGGTATGACACCATTAAACGACGTCATGTTGGTACGGTCGTATATTCGTCGTTCCAATGGGCTACCCATGCAATAGACAAATTAAATGGGTTTGAATATCCCATAGGATCAAGACTACTAGTGAAACCTGATGGGACCGTGCCTAGACAAGACACTAATAGAACGTCGCAAATATCAATACCATCTAAAAGCAATATAATTCCTAGTTCGAACATAATAGAACTTTATGAGACATTGAATCACGCCACTGCAGTGATACAGAATGTTGTTCTAACACCAGGTAACCATAAATACACTAAGACATTTATTTATATAAATAAGTATGGTATATATTTTCATTAATTTAAGACAAATTTCGTACAGGTACTCGGATCGCTTTGAGCCCGCACAGTGACATTTCAGAGATTTGCAGTGTTCAATTGCCGGAGCCTCAAGCTTTAGCAAGCATCGACGCGGATACCGCCGCTCGGTGTTTCATTGTTTGCACCCCGCCACCGCCTTCACAAGCTATACTCAAGGATCTCTTTTGTCGATTCGGAAATTTAATCGAAGTTTATTTGTTATCACATAAGAATTGTGGATACGCTAAATATGCTACAAAGGAGTCTGCAATGGAAGCGATTACGGTAATACTGTTATAACGTGCTTGATTATAGTTTTTATTTTTGATACAATTTCTCTTTATGCTACTACAGAAGTTCAAGCTATATTAGGTGACATTATTTTATCATTAATATTTGGAACATTTAATGCATCGCGTATGCTTTTTTAATAAGCGTGTTTTATTTAAAAAATATATATATTATTAATATTAACATAAAAAAGATATACATTGACAATGCATTTACTATTTATTATTTAATTAAAAAATGTTAGGTTATATATTTTTAAAAGGTACCGTGCATGATTGTGAATGCTAGTTATGTATTATTTAATTAGGGCATATTTCCATTGTTTGCTTTATGTGTACTATGCAAATACAAAATTCAATAGATTGTTGTTTTTATAGGTATTGCACGGAGCTGAAGTTTCTGGTGGAAGAATAAAGGTAATCGAGGCGGACGAAAGAGGGAACAATTCGCGAAAAAGGCTTCGATTAGATGACCAATAAATTAATACTCATAGTAAGTTCATTTTGAATGTTCCTATTTCAGGAGACGTACTTTTTAAAAGACAATCGCAAAACTATTGACTGAAATTTGGGTTTCCTACTATCTGTGATAAAATATATAGATATTCGTTCCTTGCAATATGAGAACTGACATTATCATGCTTTTTGCAAGGAACCCTATTATATATATACACACATTATTATAGAAACTTAAAGTTGTTATATTTACATTGTTATTTGTTAACATGTTGACTATGAATGGTGTAATAATCAGACATTTATTGTCAAGGTATTAACAAACTGACTTTACAGTGAATTCAAAAATTGAATCTCTTACACATTAGCTTGCTGTTTCAAATGAAAGTTTTCATGTATATGAGATTAGAGTTTATTTTATTAAAGCTTTGCTAAGAATTCATTGGATTGCGTTACACGTTTGTTTTCTTATTTTTCAATAACTTATTTCGTAATGCACGATACAATTGCATTCCAAGTTTCCGTTTCTCGTTTCTCGTCGCTTGTTGTTTTCATTTTTGAAAACCTGATCTCATGTCAATGAAAATCGCAACGTGTTACAGATTTCTAATTGAATTTATTTGATTACCAGTATTTACATTTTAGTATTTATTTATTTATTTATTTTTGCTTCACCGTTTTATTTGATTATATTTTATTTGTGGCTGACTTAGACTAACTACGAGTTACATTAGACGTTTAAATATTTTTTTTGCCGTAGAATAACTGACATCACGACATAATATGATGGACGGATTTGTACGATGGACAGAGTTTGGACTGTTAGTTATATGTATATGCAATGGATGTGCTTCATGTTTTATGATGATTCCAAACAAAACAACAAACAAACCAAACAAAATATTCAATCAATCACTCACTCACACATACACATATATACATATTTATAATCACTAATCACGATTTTCTTTTGTACGAGTTTTATGTTGCAATGTGTTCTGTTTATTTTTTGTTTTGTTCTGCTTTCTGGCTGGCCACATACACGCACACTATATTACTTGTAGCAAGAATATATTTGCATAATTCAAGCAGACGAAGTTAGGACAAATAAATTATTTATTTTAATGTTGAATGTTGTGTTTTAAAATTGTTTTTATTATGTTCTATAATTAATTTAATAAATATATTTTATTATTGTAAAGATTGTATGTTAAAAAAAATCGTTAAACTATTTTCAAATAAATTATGAGATTTGCTACTTCCGTCATGGTTTTATAACTGTTAACTGTTCCGGTTTTCGATTCCTGTGCGTTCCTCTCTTCCACCAAGTTTTTTCGAATGGAGAAATTGTGTATGTTATGTATTTATATTCTATATATGGGTCGATCTCTTGTTTGTAATAGGAAAGCGAGGCTGAAATATGATTAAATATTATTTATTATATAAATCTATAAGGACTTACGGATTGTTTCTGCATATGGAGTTGCGAGAACAAGACCATTTAAAATCAACAGGAGGTAACCCAGCGTCACGTCCATACCTTCAGCCTTTCCTATGAGCAAATGAGAAGTGTTACAGTTACTGCAGCGTATTTTGTGATCAATGTTTGTTGTAGCCTTGTAACAATTGTTTATTTATAGATAAAATTGTTTTCAAAATATAAAAAATAAATAAAAAGATGACCGGGAACAATTAACACCAGAAATTTTCACTGAAATCCGGTTTCATAATTATCTTTTGGACTCGTAAATCCCGTGACCAATGAATTTTAATTACGTTATTTAAATGGACGTTACAGTAACAGTAAATATTTTTGTGGATATCGAGAATCGTTAGAGGAGATAAACTGCTCGAATCCAAGTTAAAAATGGAATTGTGATGTTCTCTTACCTTGTCAGCAGCAGGAGCGATGGCCACGCTAAACTTGTTTTGTAAGTAATTTTGTATTCAAAACGAAGAATGTGCTCGGGTGAAGTGAATGTGATCCAATTGCATTTTTTTACGCGCAATAAAAAATGGCATACGCGCGTGAAAGTTATTTGAAATAAATAGCATTTCATTTGAAGTAACACACCGATACAGAAAATACAATCTTAGGAAATCTAGCATTCTATACCAGTCCTAAATACTTTCTGTTTTATACATTCGAATCGCATTACAATTCACTAAAAATACATAAAGGGGAGGAAATTTTAATTTGAGAATTATTGCAAAATAGATAAAATTCTTCTATACATTTACTCATTGTAATGCAATCTTTTTTATAAATTCTATGTTCTATTATTATGTTTTTCTATATAATTTTATAATTAATGTTAATTCTCGTAATATTTAGGTAAATAAATTAGTCTTTAACTTTCACACACACTTCGGTTTGTTTCGTATTGTTGGAAATCCTATCAAACAAAGGGTTTTCTCGGACATCTGTTTTGTCCGGGATTTTTTAAAGTTGTCTGTGTGTGAAAAACGTATTTTGTAATTCATTCTTATTTAATCAACATTTTTTATTGTACACAAAGGGTATACTTATTTATTTATTTATTTATTTATTTATTTATATAGAATTGTGTTGTTTTTTGCATAATACATATTTATTTTGAATTTTTATTTTTTCCTCTTTTTTTAAACTTTTTTATCCTAATCAACCATTATCTAATAAGACAACCCTGATTAAAACTAAACTCATCTATTATTGCTTCAGTAAATTATTTGAGTTGTGGAATATCAAGTTTATCCTTATTTAAAACTAATAAATCATTTTCTCTAGTCCAGCAATTAGTAATCAGAATATTGAAATAAACCGAACAATAGTTTATAATTATAATTGAAATATCATGCAATATACCATTTGAACATTTTATGGCATTGATGAGCAGCATAAAGTTTCATATCTCTACACAATTATGTAACATATTTTTTATATTTTATTTATGTAAAAATAAACGATGTGATTTTCATCACATTAATAAACAAATTTATGTATAGAAGGATTTTTTAAGAACGCCTATATTCTTACAATTTAATTAACTTAGTTGTATTATATAAATTGTATATATATAATAACAAATGAATTAAAATTATGTTTTTAGTATATATAACTATACAGGACAAAAGGGCATTTGGTTTTAATTTTCTTATATGTTATTATGTAATTTTTTGCAATAAATGTTATCGTTATAACTATATATGGTTATTCTATAGATTCAAATTTCACTATTTACTTTTCAAGCAAATCTCTACATTGCATTTAATATTAATTTACTAAACGCTTAATCAAATATCCTATAACTTTAAGTTTACATTGGATAACATGTACAAAATTAAGATTATCAATCCAACATTATCTACTTACAAGATAATTAACTTTTTTCGCTTTTAGATCAGTTTAGGTACTGAATGAACTTATTTTGTTGTAACATATATTCAAATATTAATTCAAAACTTATATTCCAGTATTATATTTATTTTCAGAGAAATACCATAGATACATCATAATATACACAATTGACAGTTCACTGGTTATTATCTAAAATATTGTTTTATTAATGAGTTTATTGCAATTATAACATTATAATTATAAATTGCCGAGCTGCGATCTAGATTCTAGAAGTTAACTAGGTTTCTCAAAATATATTTCTGTTTAAATGCACTATACACAGAAGATATATTTTGCTTCATATCATAACAAATAGAAATTCGGAGCTTTAATTTTCTAAAAATGTAATCATTTATTTACCCTACCTGTGTTAATATTTATCAATTACAAATGAAAAGTAAAAATTGGAGAAACATTAGAGGCTCTTTGAATTAATTGTTGACTATAACAGTAAAATATTGTTCGCTTAAATTAAGCGTAGCAATTCTTTATTTTTTTTTTATCGCAAGTCGTCCATTCATCTGGTGCAATGAGAAATATGACAAGAAAGATGAAGACAATTTATTAGCAGAATGAAAATAATTTATAACAAAAAATAATCGTAATTTACTGTAGACATGCTTCTACTTACATATAAAGGGCTATTGACCATAGACTTTCCGCCAAAAATCATATGTCATTAAAGATATAAACAATGATTATATTTAATGTTAATTTAATGGTAACATTATATAATGTGATTGTTTTGTTAGATATGCAAAATGTATTTTGTTTATTAGTGCGTTGTTGTGCAACGAGTACCGATAGATGGTACACAGTGTACTTATATGAGCGAATGTTTTACTTTGGCGAGTTTATATTGGCGAGAAAATTTCATACAAATTATATTCGGGATATTGGTTTACGATACGGATGAGAGGTTCCTCTTAACCGAAAGTACCGTTACTTCAAAGACGATGAGCTGTTTTTGCTCTTTCGGAACGAAGCGAAAAGGAGGATGGAAGAAGATGATGATGTCATCATCACCCATCCTAAACGCATCGTACTGAAAGGGAAAAAAAAGCTCGACGTTGCTGATGTTTAGGAACTTTTGGTTTAGTGCTACCAATCAATCGAATTGTCAACCAATGTCCCTTTATTAATTAAACTAAAAATATATTCTTTAATATTATTATTATGTTAATATTATTGTAACAATCAAACGACAGGAGGCGATAATAATGGAATCAACATTATTTAAATATAAATTGGATCATTGAAAATGCAAATATTACAAAATATTATTTATCGGTGGCAATCGCAAGGCCGACAACCGAAATCCCGATATCGATACGTCGGGATTTTGATTGTCGGGATTTCGATACACTCGGGATTTCGAACTTCGGGATTTCAATAGACGGTCTTTCGGTTGTCGGGCTTGCGATATGATTATTTATATTAATCATCTTATAGCAAATATATAAGGTAAAACAAACAGCCGATGAAATTTCGTCATGTTTCGCAAGAATTCAAAATCTAATATTATGAATGATATTGTTTAATAAACTATTTAGCTATAATCAATGTGAAGTATCTATTTTCAATACTTTATTTATTTAACCTCAAGATTAGTTTATTGGGTCAAGGGCTAACAATTATGTGATTTGTCCGCTTTATATATATATATATTTCATCTTGAAACTAAATTCGAATTTTACTGAGAGTTGTCATTATACAAATATATAAGGTACACCGAACAGACAGACGTTTTATTTTCGCATGTTGTTTATTATGATATATATATATATATATTATTTTTAAAGAGATATCAATTATTATTGATATAAATCTGCCCCTTTTTCTACCCCTTTTCGGCCCCTACAATTTTTTGTTGTTTTTGAGGTTCGAATCAACTTTTTCGTATCGTCATGATACAGGCGACTACATGTATATTTGTATCATGAGAGTTGTTGTAATATAGTTAGGTGGTAATATAGTTGCCTATACCGCGAGTCCATAAGATATTGCAAGTGTGTTTGTATATGTGGCAAAACAGAAAATTGGGAAAGAAAATAGTAAAAATATACTAAACAAATGACAAAACTTGAATATAAGAAGTCGATGTTATGTTACAGTCAGTAATTTTTGATTGTTGTTTAGGGTTCTATATTTTTTTTATATTTCAAATCAATTTGTTTTATCAACTTTGTCTAAGTCAGGGATGCCCAACCCAAATCGTTTGGTGGACCAAAAAAATATTACTGAGCTAAGCGCATATAAAAAAATAAAACGAAGAACTTATTCAAAATATTTTATTATAGTTAATGTGGCACTTGTTTTTTAATACCAAAATTCAAAATATAGAAAGTTGAAAACATCAATTGGGCCGCGGTCTAAGTACTTCAAATACGCTTAAGCCTCATGAAGTAACACGTCGCTACATAAAAAAAATTGAGCGATTTAGAGTTCCCGAATAACGCAGGGGGACAAAGATTTGAAGTTTCGCCACTGACTTTTATAATATGTGGTTTCAGGTGATCAACTGTTCTCTGTACAATTTCTTCTTTGACTATTTTCCAATTATTTCATTACTACTATTAGAAGTAACAAAATAATGCAAAGGAGTAGTACTACTAGAGCAGCGGCCGTCAACCGGTGGTCCACGAGTAAACTTTAATTTCTTTGAAATTTTTGATTTTTTTATATTTTATTTTAGTTATTTGCAATTTTCTCCTTATTACGTTTTATGTTTATAAAAGGTCCAATGTAAAAATAAATGCATAGCAAAAAACCAACAAGAGTGATAGCGGAACAAACAACAAGTCAATAACGGTTGTGCTACTGAATATCCACAGTCTACGAAACAAAAAAGCATGAAGTGGATATAATGATAAAACAACAAAAGGTGGATATATTTATATCAAGTACATAATTATTTTTGCCGATCTATAATTTAAATTAAAATATCCGAAATACGTTATTTTAGACTTTTTTATTCTATTGTTAAATATAGGTATTATTAATGTAATTAAATTCTTAATCATAACAATGTATCAAACAAATTATAACATTGAAGTATGTTTGTTACAAGAAAATCTTGATTCTGCACGATATCGTATGTTTGGTGCCAGTAAAGTTGTATATGCTGACATATCAGCAGCAATTGATGAAATCATATCAATATACAAATGGCGAGATTATGTTGATAGAAATTTTGAAATATTAATATTGTAAGTATCTACATTATATAATATTGTCTGTGTGGAGTTAGTTTATTTTAGCATTTTAGATTTTTGTCACAGATATTTTGTACAGTGTAATATATTTTGTAATAATATATTTTTACGAAAAAAATAAATCACTTTGGATATCTGCATAAATTTATTATATATTTTAAATGAGTATTCTGCATTGCCGTATGAGCTCGTATGGCATTGCGGTACAATAATTTAAAAAAAGAGAAAATAAAAGTTATATGAAGGTGGTGGTGGTCGATGAGAAGTAAGGACGCGCCGAGGTTTCAGATGCTGAATATGTTCCATTAATCTAAATTCAAGAAAAACAGCTGCATTGAATATAAAGCGATCTTGTAACACCTTTCTTGTTGCCAAGAAACCACGCCCTCTCCTTAACCCCTTTTTCGCAGGATTATATAACTGCCGCACCCCAACCCCGCGTAGCAAAGCCACACTCACACGTACACACACGCAGAGAGGTTCAAAGAGCACGAATGATGCATTAATTCTAAAGGAAAACAATCGGATTGGAAGCAATTAATATTTAGGATACTTGTACACTCTGTTGGTCTTCGTGCGGTCCTCGTGCGGATCGATTGACGTGTTCCTGCCACAAGGGTGGCGCGGTGTTCTCTCACAATTGCATCTGGCTTAATTAAAATCGGATAAAAAGTGAAATGTGGTTCAAAATACAAGTACGTATTAATTAATATGGTATCGCGTGCGTGCGTATGTGTGTGCAAATGCGGATGTATACGTATACGTATTCATCGATGTGTGAGTGTATATGTGACCTTTAATGCAGTAAAACCAGAGGTGGTGGCGGTATCGGAGCCGCCGACGCCCCCACAGACGCGCCGCCCCCTCGCGCAGAGCCCTTAACTTATTTATTTAAAAATCAGGAAATGTTTGTTCGTCAAACATCGCCGCAATTCGCAACTGATCGTTCACTGCAGTGACGCAACGACGTTAGCATCGCGACGACCTCCCTGCGGGTTCTTCTTTTATTGTTAAAATGTTGTGACCTACGTTTCATTTACCTATATAGTTTAAGATTTACTGGAACGAAGCAAGTCCATTTTAAGTTCTAAACCATGTTTAATTAATAAATCAACTGTAAAAGTTTAAACGGAAGTATATCTAAATCATACGCGAATCTCGGTTGTGTAATAAACAAAACAATTAATAACAAACAGTAAGAATTAACAAAAGAGGAGGAAACGAACGGCGACGATCAAAAATAAACTAAACCTTAAAATAATTAAACACCGAGCAGAGAGAGAGAAAAAAAGGGAGGAAGATTGGAAGAGAAAGAAAGAGAGAGAGAAAGGAATCAGCAAACAATAAACTTTTAATGTAAATATGTTGTTGAATTTTGGACGTTTGTGTGTGCAATGCAAAAACTCGACGTCGACGTCGAACAAAATATCAGGTTTTAAATAGTTACTCCATTTGTAATAATATATATAAATATAATACTAACAACAAAATATTAGTTATCCTTGCCTTTGTCGCAGCATACTAATAACAAATAACGAAGATAAGTTAGGAAAGGGAAGCTGGATTTGTTAGATAAGAAACATATATCGTTTAGTGGTGATTTTGATTACTCTCATCGTGATCTGAATCAAATAATAATGCATTCAACTTAGATCTTCCTCAATTAAAACAACCAATAAGAATAGTGTGATATATAATATAATATACATTTATACATATACTACATTAATATATATATATATATATACACGCACACGCGCGCATACATAGGTATATATCGTAAGGAGTGTCTCCATAGCAATTGTTTATCATTTGTTTGATGGTGGCGAGAAAACGACACCAGGTTCTGTTGTATTTTGCAAGGTTACATTACACACGTCCTATCGATTCGGGAACGAACCAAAAATAGGGTTTTCACTTCACTCGGCCGACATTAGAAGAACAAAAAAGAAGTAACGAATAAAATAACAGTAGAAGAGTGGACAGGAATTCATTATACAAAAGCCTTGTTCACCGTACTTGACACGGAGTGCCTGCGAAAGTAATAATTATAATTAAAAGTAATAATTTAGATGAATATACTGTTATGAGTGTGTCCAGCAATAAACAACTTAATGCCAATTCGTTGTGTAACAATCTAGTCAATTAGTCCGAATCTCATTTCACTTCTCTTGTATCGACTTGCATTTATTTATTGTTTCGATTTAAACACACCGAATTTTTTAATCTAAATAAAAGGAACAAATTAAATTTTTTGTTAAAAATGTCACAATTGGTACTCTGTAATTCGAATAATGATAATAACAACAACAGCAATGATAATCTTAGTGAAGATTCGACAACGCCACTCACCATTTATCGGTAATTATTGAATTACTTTCACTTTCTTTAATATATATTATATTATTTATTTGATATTACCTCACTTTTATTGTAATTACACTTAAGGAAATTTTGATCACTTGTTATCATTGCATGTTATACACATCAACTTGGCATATATACAACAAAAAATCAGATACTCCGGTGTATATGATGTCCAGGCAACTTATATACATATATTTTGTCTACATTCCTTTTTAATTTTTTTAATCTCTGATTCCATTTTTACAATCTGAAATTAAATTATATATATTTTTTTTGTTTAAATTCCAATTTTATATTATATTTTATTTTGTTTTCTTTTGTCTACACAACACTCACCGCCAGTCCAACCACAGGGACATTGCATTTACTATGTAAGGTTACATAACCTGCACTTTTGGGAATAAAACAAGCAAACCATCCCCTATTGATTTCTACATAATATAACACTTTGTATATAGAATACAGTATCGAAAAACTGTCGCTTTGTAATTTTATTATCTTTCACTTTTTTTATTGTCGATTCCAGTAGATAAAACAATGCCATTCCATTCTTTTAATTTCATTGTCCGTTGTGTTGCTATAATGAAAATGCTATCTAACACTATTATTTATATATATGACCAACCAAGATACCTGTGATATGTGATAATTGAAAATTCATATGTATCAGAATATTCGCGATTATTCACCTTATTCTATGACTAACAACTTTCTTATTAATAATAAAAGGATGATGAATATCTTCGGGGAAATAAATAATAACATATTCAGAGTAAATGCTACTTTGTAGGTAAGTCTAATAGATTAATAAATAACACGCTGCAATAAATTCTGATACCTGCATTCGATTTAGCTTTGCGATTGCACAAAACGGTTTTAATTAATACTATTTATTGCTAAATTTAGTGTATAAATTTCACATTATTCATAAAAAATCGAATTATTGTATATGTAATATGTCAATAATTTCTATTGATTAAGAAAACTACAATAGTTGCGTCAACTTAACGTCAGATGTCTGCATTATAACTGCATAATTGATAAAGATTATTGACTTTTTTAAATGATAGCTGAGTTTGTTTGTAATTACCAAATACAATTATTTTATATACATTCTAACTTGATATATAAATTACTTTGGGAATAGCTTCATCAAGTTGTTATAATTTTTCTTATTAATTTCATTTATATATAGAAATATCTACATCAGATATAAATTTTATAAAATAATAATATTTTTAAGATTATTGATCTCGTTTTTGCGACAAGTTTTTTGAAACTTCACAATTCCCAAATTGCACTATTTCTTTACTATTTGAAGAGTATACTTCTAACTTCCAAATTAAATCAAATAAATTATCAGTACCCAACAAAAGCAATGGTATCAAAGTAACAGTTTCTTGTCATACGTTAGTTTAAGTTTAAGAAAAACTTTTCAGACTTTTAATCTTAATCTATTTTCTTATATTGGTGCACACATTTATATATAACAAAGAAAATATCAGTGGGGTACAACTATCACAAATTGTGTAACACTGATCCAAAGCAATACTTTTTAAATTAATCAATAAAAAATAATTAGTTGAACTTTGTGTTAAATGCTCGTTTGGAGTAAAACTTTTTTGCATTCAGTCCTTGCAGTTTCATTTTTATTATTTTTTTTATCAATAAATTAATTCTGCTGATCAACATTAGACATATTTTTATCTAAGTTTCTATTATCAACATTTTTATTATATTCAGACGTTATTTTTCAGAATTGATAAATATTAAATATAATAAATCAAATATATAAAAGATAATGTTACTATTATTATCATATCATAGAATTTGTTGTATATAATGGTAATTATTTAAAGTTACATATGAAATATATATATATATATTTTATAAATATGATATACTTAGAATTATCTATTTACCAATCGATTTCATACTTTTTTTAAATTGATTGATTCCATTTGTATAATGGAAAATCATAAATTTTCCATAAAACCAATGTCTTTAGACAAAATAAACGGATGCGCAAAGAAATGTAAGTTATTGGGGTATATAATTTGTAAAGAGATAACTACGTGTACAAAATTAAATCATGCGTTGCAAAATAACCACTAAACAGACAGCATTTACAGATTGTACTAATTTAATTAAAATCTGAAACATTTGTTAAGAATTAAATAGTTTTACAAAATTAAGTTTTGTAAATAAAAGTATTAAAATAAAATTAGTCTTTTTAATTAAGTATTTACTCATTTTTATATATTATTGTTCTTGTCTACCAAAATATATATTTCTTTAAACTTTAAATAAAAAATTGAAAATAAATTGAAATCTTTTGTTGCAAATGTTTATTTTTCGTAGAAATACACTTGAATTTGAATACTCAAAATTATATTATATACAGTGGAACTTCGCTTAACGAGCATAATCCGTTCCAAAATTTCCGTATAGTGAAAATTTTCCTCCATATAAACTAATGTAATATACGATAATGCGTTCCATTAAGCGAAATGCTTGTTATGCGAGGTGTTCGTTAAGCGATATATTATTCATTCTTGATAGCAAATTTGCTATTTAGTTAGTCCAATCTTGCATATTTGGCATAAAAATAATCAATTTTCACTTTGTTGAAATCTCTGAGATATTTTCATTTGCGAGTATCTGATGCGTTATTATTACATTTGATATCAAGGTCCGTCGGAAAACTGTACGTTCGCGAGTATACACATGTTATATTTGATAATATTTATGGTTTTAAACAAAACAAAAACTATGGTAGAAAAAGCATGGTAGAATGGTTCTCCAAATAGAAGCCGAACTGATAATCAATAATGTTAACATGGAGAGAGACCTGACACATTGTGCTTTTTAATTTTCACTGAATATAGCCATCGATTCGTAATTTAATTGGCGACGTCAATTAAACCGGAAATTGAGTTGCTAAAAAGGCTGCGCACGTTCGAATACGAATGAATGTAATCCTGCCAAAACAGAAGTAGGTTGATGCGACGCTGACGCACTGGGCGATAGTATCCATTGTTGAGAGGTAAATGCGATTAGAGCTGTGTGGCAATTTCCAAAGTTTCTAACGTTCTATTAAGCCTCGCTCGCTGCTCGAGTAGAGAAAGGATGCTGCTGCCAGAGACGAACGAACGAACGCCTTTAAACTTTTCATAAAGGAATTTCCATATTTCGGCATCTCCCCGAACACGAACGCAATAAGCAACTCGCTGTATCAATTTAATAATCGGCCGATTTATCAATTGTCATAACTATTTATTATTGAATGAAGCTCATTGAAACTTGAAAATTGAAAAAATATTCTTTTTTATTTGTATCGATTATATAAAGCAGCATCGAATGTGGTAAGCGATCATAAGGAAAATAGTCATTTTATGCCAAAAATAAGTTTAAATTTAAAATAAATCATCAGAGATGTGTACATATACAGAATTAACATTGTAATCATCATTATTAACATTTATTATTGTTATTTATATTATTATGAATCAATATTTTGAAATAGTATACCAAAACAATAAAAGAAAGAAGAGTGTAACTTTTGGTACAATTCAAAAGCTAATACTAATATAATATTCACTCTTAATAACGAATTAAACTAAATTCAATAATTTATATTGATGCAAATATATGTTGCAAATATTAGACATGAAATATGCTCAATGTATATTGGACATGAGAAAAATAAGCTTAAATTTAATTTGAATTTATTATAGTAGTTATTACCTATTTTATATAGATGATCATATTGCAAGATTATGAAATATATTTTCTAAATAAAATGGTTTTCCATACATAAATTTAAAGAAATCTTTATTTAGTGTTCTTTAACTATAAGTTGTAGTATAGTAAGACCTGTTTTTGTGCGGTAGATAGGGATCGTATAAAAAAAATGTTATAAAAAAATATATGAAATTTTCATAAATTCTTACATATAACAAATAACTTTGTATTATACATTACAGAAACTTTTTTTATGCGGTGGATAGGGATCGCATAAAAAATCGCACTTAGAAAATGCGTCAAAGATTTACGAAATACATGAGAAAGTGCATCCAAACAAAATAAATAATTAAATTACACATTTCAAAAACAATTCATTTCTCATTGTACATATGGAGAAATTTTCAAAATGCACATACATAATTCACTGCTACTTGTGTTAATCCAAAACGCGCATCTTGGTTCAAAATAGACTAATAGAATCGTTTGAGCAGGCTGTACATATACACACTGACATATGCAACGCCTTTGGAATTGGTTGGAAGACCGCACAAAAATAAAATCGCATAAAAATGGACCGCACAAAAACAGATACTACTGTTTTTTAATTATTGGTCAGTGATTTATATTAACATTATTTTTCGCATTATTTTATAAAGAATTATTAAAAGAAATAATCAAATTTACTTATTATTTGATCCTGAGTTATCTGAAAATATATATATTTTACATAAAGCTTACCCTGTCAATCTTCTGTCTAAATATCAAAGACAAATGTATAATTAATATAATTATAATGTATGCAGCACTGTGTTTACTTTACTGTTGATTCACTACTTTTTTTTAAATATTTTTTGGAGTAGGTATTATATTTTCTTGTAGATGCTGATATGAAGTTACTGCGTTCTCTTCCATAGCCAAAATTTATACCGTTAATTCAAATATAAAAATAGAAAGAAATATATCGAATCTTTGAGATTAGTTTTTACTTCAATTTAGTTTTTATAATTATATTGTTGCAAATATGTTAAACAAATATTTTCAACAATACTCTGCACTATTTTTAGTTCGTACAAAGTTGGCGTCAATGGAAATTGAATTTTATTAATTGATAAACTTATTTCAGATATTAATCGTAAGTAAACTATTTTTTAATAATCAGTTCATTTATGTTTGTACTTGAATTAATTACTTAATCTTTAGAATAATCTAATATCTACGATATATTTATTTTTTTCATAGTAATCTAT